AAAAAAAAAGAATGAAGGAGAGGAAGAAAGAGAAAGAGGAAGAGGGAGAGAGAACGGGGGTGTTGCTTTATTGCCCGGGCTAGAGTGCAGTCTAAAAATGGGTATGACTATAATTGTGCTTAATAATAGAGACATGAAAAAAAAATGAGGGAAGAAAATAACAAGCAGCCAACCAATATTTCATTGAAAACTGTAAATAGATGTCATGTGGTACTGATAAGAGTGTATATTTTGTGTATTTAAAGTGGAGAGTTCTATAAATGTTAATTAAGTTTACTTGTTCCGGATCTGAGTTCAAATCCTGGATATCGATGTTAACTTTCTGTCTCATTGATCTGTCTAATATTGATGTTGAAGTCTCCCACTATTATTGTGTGGGAGTCTAAGTCTCTTTATAAGTCTTATATATCTGGGTATTCCTGTATTGGGTGCGTATATATTTAGGATCTTTAGCTCTTCTTGTTGCATTGATCCTTTTATCATTATGTAATATCCTTCTTTGCTTCTTTTGATCTTTGTTGCTTTAAAGCAACTCCTGTTTTCTATTTATTTATTTATTTTTGCTCTCCATTTGGTTGGTAAATCTTTCTCCATCCCTTTGTTTTGAGTCTTTGTGTATCCTTGCATGTGTGATGGGTCTGGATGCAGCATACTGATGGGTTTTGGCTTTTTTTGCCTGTCTGTGTCTTTGGATTGGGGGATTTAGTCGATTTAAATTTAGAATTAATAATAATATATGTGAGTTTGATACTGCCATTTAATGTTAGCTGGCTGTTTTGCCTATCAGTTGATGTAAATTCATGATTATGTTGATGCTCTTTATCTTTTGGTATTTTTTAGAAAGGCTGATACTGGTTGTTCCTTTCTATGTGTAGTGGTTCTTTCAAAAGCTCTTGTAAAGCAGGCCTGGTGGTGATGAAATTTCTGAGTGCTTGCTTGTTCACAAAAGATTTTATTTTTCCTTCGCTTATGAAGCTTAGTTTGGCTGGATATAAAATTCTGGGTTGAAAGTTCTTTTCTTTAAGGATGTTGAATATTGGTCCCCACTCTCTTCTGGCTTGTAGGGTTTCTGCTGAGGGATCTGCTGTGAGTCTGACGGGCTTCCCTTTTTGGGTAACCTGACCTTTCTCTCTGGCTGCCCTCAGTATTTTCTCCTTCCTTTCAACCCTGGTGAATCTGGTGATTATGTGCCTTGAGTTTGCTCTTCTTGAGGAATATCTTTGTGGTGTTCTCTGTATTACCTGGAGTTAAATATTGTCCTGCCTTGCTAGGTTGGGAAAGTTTTCCTGAATAATATCCTGAAGCGTATTTTCCAGCTTGGATTGATTCTCTTCGTCACATTCAGGTACGCCTATCAAGCGTAGATTAGGTCTTTTCACATAGTCCCATATTTCTTGGAGACTTTGCTCGTTCCTTTTTATCCTTTTTTCTCTAATCTTGTCTTCTCGTTTTATTTCATTAAGTTGGTCTTCGACCTCTGATATCTTTTCTCCTGCTTGATCGATTCAGCTGTTAAAACTTGTGCACCAGGTGACACAGCACAATGAAAGATTCAGGCTGAGTTCCACTATGAACATCTGTTTTTTAAATTTTTATTTATTTTTATTTTTTTGAGATGGAGTCTCGATCTGTCGCCAGGTTGGAGTGCAGTGGCACAATCTCGGCTCACTGCAACCTCCACCTCCTGGGTTCGAGTGATTCTCCAGCCTCAGCCTCCCAAGTAGCTGGGATTACAGGCACCCACAAGTAGGCAGAGAAACAATATAATGACCTAGCACACCCAAGCAAGCTACTCTTCCTCCTGAGTAGCTGGACTCACAGGCACATGCCACCATGCCTGGCTTATTTTTGTATATTTGGTAGAGACGGGGTTTCACCATGTTGCCCATGTTGCCCAGACTGGTCTTGAACTCTTTGACTGGAGCAATCCCCCTGCCTCGGGCTCCCAAAGCGCTGAGATTACAGGTGTGAGCCGCCATGCCCGGCTACAGCAAGCTATTCTTTTAGGAACTCTTAGGCGTACCTTGCTTGAAAGTTCACATGTGGCTGATGTGAAAAGCTGTCTTACGGCATGCTTCAGCTGAACTTCTGGTTATATTCAAACCACTGACTCTTCCCTGAAGGGCTCATCCGGGCTCATTCAGAGGAGCAGCCTCTTTGGGGTGTACCGTAGCTGTCACGCAAGAGAGAGGGAACCTTCTCACTGATTCACATATCTCTAATTCCGCTCATTCCTCCAAAGAAACAGCATTCACTCTGCTAATTAGCAAACCCTCTGATGCTGATTAAAAATAACCCCAGCTGAACCAAAGCTGTACTCTCCAGAATGTGTGTGTGAGTTTATGATTTGTCTTTCAAATGCTAACTAATCACCCCTCCTCTGCCAGGGGTCTGTATTAAAACTAACATTTCCGTATCATGCTATCTATGTGTATTTGAAAGCAAATTTCAGACAGCATAATAACAGCAGTGAGTACTTATGACTCAGGACACACTTTTCAGCAATTAGCATTAAACACCGCTTTAAAACGTATAGACTTCAAACAACTTTGTTGGTGGTGAGAGTATTTTTCAAGCAAACTGAGGCAACTCAAGAGTGGCTGTAGTTGTGAAGGTGCTCTCATTGATTTTGAATACACTTATTTCTATGAACCATGAGTGGAGGCTGGGTGCTGTGGCTCACGCCCGTAATCCCTGCATAAGGTGGAAGTGGGTGGATCACTTGAGCTCAGGACTCAGAGACCACCCTGGCCAACATGGTGAAACCTCATTTCTGCCAAAAAGTACAAAAATTAGCTGGGCATGGTGGCATGCACCTAAAGCCCTAGCGACTTGGGAGCCTGAGGTGGGAGAATCTCTTGAACCTGAGAGGTGGAGGTTGCAGTGAGCTGAGATCATACCACAAGAAAAAAAGAAAGCAAGAAGAAAGCAAGGAAGGAAGGAAGGGAAGAAAGGAGGGAGAGAGGGAGGGAGGGAGGGAGGGGAAAGAGTACTCCAGTGAGTACCTTGGATTTATTTGCTTGGCTTGGTTCTTTTGTGTGTCTCAGGGCAACCAAGCACCAGTCAGCTTTCTGAAAGTGTTGCTACTCTTTCTGTGATCTGGGCCAGCTCCTGGTCCTCTTCCGCCCACTGGCTGGATACAGACTTAAGATCCCACTCTCCCTCCAGGGGCAGCCTCTAGTAGAGGGTGAGCAGCCCAGCTCTCCCACTGCGGTGCAGCCTTGGGAAAGTTACTCCACCCTTCCCACCTTCATGTGTAACATGAGAAGACTGGGTGACCTCTAAGGCCCTTTCCAGCTCTGCAGTACTTTTTTTTTGAGACAGAGTCTTGCTGTGTTGCCCAGGCTGAAGTGCAGTGGTATGATCATGGCTCATGGCAGCCTTGACTTCCTGGGCTCAAGTGATCCCACTGTAGTCCGCCCTTGAGTAGCTGGGACTACAATACCACGCCCAGCCAATTTTTAAATTTTTTTTTGTAGAAACAAGGTCTCACTATATTGCCCAGGCTGGTCTTGAACTGTAGGGCTCAACTGATCCTCCCACTTCAGTCTCCCAAATTTCTGGGATTACAGGCATGAGCCGCCAAATCTGGCCTTAGCTCTGCAATTTTATAATAACTGTCTTAGTTCATTTGGCATGCTATCACAAAATACCTAAGACTGGGTAATTTATAAACGACAGAAATGTATTGGTAATAGCTCTGGAGGCTGGGAAGTCCAAGGTCATGGTGCCAGCAGATTCCTGGTCTGGTGAGGGCCCATTCCTCATAGATGTCTCCTTCTATGTGTCCTCACACGGAGGAAGGAATGAACAAGCTCCCTCAGACCTCTTTTATATGAGCACTAATCCCACTTATAAGGGCAGAGCCTTATAAGTGACCTAGTCACTTCCCAGAAGCCCTGCTCCTTAACACCGCATTAGAGATTAGGTTTCGACATATGAATTTTGGGGAGACACAAACATTCAGACCATAGTAATCACCCATATTATTATTTAATTACCTCCGTCCAGCACTCTTGGAGTGGATGACTCAGCAGTCCGATCGTTTTGCTTTTAAGGAAGCTTGATCTTGTGCCATCATGTATATGTAGCAAGCATATGTTCAATAGTTAAATAAGCTGACTGTCCTGCTCCAGCTGGAGTTAGGCTGAAACTGATTGATTTCTTCATGCTGTCCTCTTTCAGGGAAGCAGCACAGCACCAACTAGGCAGAGACGCCCCCAGGCCATGACAGCTCTTTGAGTGAGGTCTGGTAACAGGGAGGTGCTCTCACCCACTGGCCTGTCTAATCCAGCTCCAAGATGCTGAGCCTGAAGCTCCCCAGGCTGTTTAGCATAGACCAGATGCCCCAGGTATGTGCTCCATTTATTAAGATGGTTCATTTCCAGGGTGTGACCAGGGCTCTGGAACGGGGGACTGTTGTCTTCACCTAGTCTGATCTGTACAGGCCCATTCTCTTCAAGGATCCCCTCCCACACTTCCTTGGGGGATATTACAGCCTCCTACTGCCCCCACCCACCTTGAAATGGAAGTGGTCCCAAAATCATTTAAGTTGTAACCCTTCCTTGAGACATCCGTGTTTTATCCAGAAGCAAAGTCATTATGAAATTCAAGCTGAAGAGATGAAGCCAGCAGCAGTTGGCCGGTAGGAGGTTTATTTTTTTAGGAGTCTCCTATGGGTGCCTGAAAGCAGGCTGTGGGCAAAGGCACCCAGGGCTTGGCTCTGTGCGTCCCTGTTACTTGCAGGAGGCCCAGGCCAGGTCTGCACTGGGGCGATGGGGAGGGTTGTTGAATGGGCCTTAGCACTGCCCTTTAGTGGACTCATGGGCCTGGATGCTCACAGGCAGGTATCCTGAAATACATGAGACTTATTGTCTGCTTTAGTAAGCCACAGGTGAGTCTGGCTGTGTGCTACCGAGAACCGGTGCACTTCCTCCTTCCCTTGCAAAGGAAACAGCATCACGTTGCACCCCTTTGTTGATGTCAAATTTCCTTGCTTTTTGACTAAGAAGAGTGGGTGTTATTTCACAGTGGGAAGTTTCATTGGGAAGACGTGGCAGAGTGGAGGAGAGCCAGCCCCTTTCTACTTGGCTGGTGGCCAAGCACTTATGACTTGCCCCAGAAAAATAATTCCTAAATAAACTCAACATCACCAGTGGAAGGTTGAGGGGGAAACTGCCAAACCCAAAGCCTGTGAAGCCCAGTGATTCCAGGAAGATGGCGAGGGGGAAAACCGTAAGTGAGGCACAGCTGTTTGGTGGAGTGAGCTGAGGAATGTGTAGACTGATACGCAGTCTACACGTGTGGCCAGCTCCAATGACACTGGGCAGAGCACCTGCCTCGGCTCTCACAGGGTCATCACCTTCTCTTCCTGGGGTACTTTGCTAGTTGGTTATTCCCACAGAGCATTAGCAGCTGTGATTAGTGGATATACAGTGTGATTCTTGAATTTATTTACTCATGAAATTTGTATTGACTGCCTACCATGTGCAAGGGATTCAGAGAATAATTACATACTAATCCAGTCCTTGCATGGCTCATGTGTTGGTCAGGAAGACTTTAAAATGTGCACGAGAAATTCTTTCCTAAAGTGGGTTAGGGTCTATCTTAAGACAGGGTGATTCTTTCAGAGAAGGGACTGGTCACTTCCATCACGGGGGATTGTATTAGTCCATTCTCACACTGCTGTAAAGAACTGCCTGCGGCTAGGTAGTTTATTTATTTATTTATTTATTTATTTATTTTTTGAGACGGAGTTTCGCTCTTGTTACCCAGGCTGGAGTGCAATGGCGCGATCTCAGCTCACCGCAACCTCTGCCTCCTGGGTTCAGGCAATTCTCCTGCCTCAGCCTCCTGAGTAGCTGGGATTACAGGCACGCGCCACCATGCCCAGCTAATTTTTTGTATTTTTAGTAGAGACGGGGTTTCACCATGTTGACCAGGATGGTCTCGATCTCTTGACCTCATGATCCACCCGCCTCGGCCTCCCAAAGTGCTGGGATTACAGGCTTGAGCCACCGTGCCCGGCCAGCTAGGTAGTTTATAAAGAAAAGAGGTTTAATTGACTCATGGTTCCTCGTGGCTGGGGAGACCTCAGGTTAACTTACAATCATGAGGGAAGAGGCACATCTTACATAGCAGCAGGCGAGACGGAGAGAGAGAGTGATGTAAAGGAGGAACTGTCAGACACTTAAAGAACCATCAGATCTTGTGAGAACTCAAGTTTGGGGGACACCAACCCCATGATCCAATAACCTCCCATCAGGTTCCTCCCTCGACATGTGGGGATTGCAGGAATTACAATTCAAGATGAGATTTGGGTGGGGACACAGAGCCAGATTATATCAGGGAGGAAGGGATCAGGGAAGGCTTTCATGAAGTGGGTGATCTGTAAGACAGGTTTTGAGGGGTGGACAGGATTGTGGAGATAGGGAGAGCATTCCAGGTGGAAGGAGCAGTGTGAACAAAGGCCTGGAGATGGAAGATGTTGGGGCAGGTGGTGATGGGCAGGGGATGGGGAGCCTCTTGTGGGTAGGGGTTATGGGAGTCTGCTTAGACATCTTTGTGGACATTTTGGTCAGGGTTGGGCTCAGAGTATGTCTCCAGGAAAGAAGTGAAGGGGCCAGAGTGGTATCAATAGGTCCTTTGGGTAACCTGCTGGGAATCTGAATGCATGGAGATCCTGAATGTCGGGGCTGGGCAACCCTAACAGAGGCTAAGGGAGAAAGATGAACAGGTCCTCTCTGTCCAGTTTTTTGTACGTTATGGGATGATAATATCTTTTCATGAAATGGCACTAGCTAGAGGCAGAAAGCCAACACCACACCTTGCAATCACTATTTGCTTCAAAATCTTCCTTGGGCTCCCGCATCCACTACTGGGTTTTTGGGCATCATGCCCAGGGTTTATGAAGCCATAGAGAAAATACAGTGCCATAGTCCCAGATGCCTTAGTTTAGGGACGTGGACAGGAGGATTTCCTGAGGCAGTGGTCTGCACAGAGAGGGAATGCAATGCTGTTTCCAGACTTGCCCTGCAGCTCTGCCACACAGTCATAACCTTAGCCTCAGTGTTCTTATCTGTAAAACAGAGGTGACTCTTGCTAAGTCAGTCTCACAGGGCAATTGTGAAGATCCAAGAAAAATAAAATAGATCAGTGGGATTATTATGAATGAAGGAAGCATAGCCACATCAGTGGCTGGCAGTGGTGTTCGGTAGCGGGCTCAGCCACTGGGAACAAGAGCCATCTCAATGGCTAAATAGTTTCTCTGGCCCAGTGTTGTTCAGAGAGGGTGCTTGGCTCACCAACACCAGAATCACCTGATAGCTTATTAAAATATGGTAGGAGCCGGGTAATCGTAGCACTTTGGGATGCTGAGGCGGGTAATTGTAAGGCAATCACCACTCTGTCCCAAAAAATATATATATGATAGGAGCTGTGATAGCAGGCATCTTTGTATTGTTCTTGGTTTTAATGAAAAGAAATGCTTTCAGCTGTGTGTGTGCGTGTGCGTGTGTGTGTGAATGTGCATAAATAATCTTTTAATTCTTTATCAGATTAAGGGTGTCACGTTATATTTCTGGTTTGCTAGGATTTTTTCATTTATTTATTTTTGAGACAGGGTCTTTCTCGCTCACCCAGGCTGGAGTGCACTGGTGCAATCTCGGCTCACTGCAAACTCTTGCCTCCTGAGTTCAAGCGATTCTCATGCCTCAGCCTCCCTAGTAGCTGGGTCTACCAGCAAGCACCACCATGCCCAGCTAATTTTTGGATTTTTAGTAGAGACAGGATTGTCTTCATATCACCATGTTGGCCAGTCTGGTCTCAAACTCCTGACCTCAGGTGGTCCACTGGCCTTGGTCTCCCAAAGTGCCGGGATGACAGGCGCGAACCACCGTGCCCGGCCACCCTTATGAATTTTCAAAACTCTTGTTTCCTATCAATATCTTTTGAGATGATCATATATGATTCATTTAAGTTGTTAATGTGGCGATTACATTGATTTACCAATGTTAAACCAATCTTTTGTTCTTGGTTTAAACACTGCTTGATTATGATGCAATATCTCTTTAATCTGTTGCCAGAATCAGTTGGCTAATGTTTGCTTTAGGATCCTTAAATCTATTTAACGAGTTGGCCTATAATGTTTCCTTCTTATGCTGTCCTTGCCTAGACCTGGGATGCAGTTTATGCCAATCACAAGTGAGTTGGAGATTGCTGCCTGTTTATTCTACAGGGAGAAATATGTGATATTAGAATGATACATTCCTGAGTGGTTGGTAGAATTTATCTGTGAAATTACCATATTGACCAACTCTAAGGGGGCACCATTTCCTTTTTACTCTACATGAATGGCAACCCCTGGAGTTGTACAGGGAACAACTTGGCCCTACGGTTGAATTTTCTTGATGGAAAGATTTTTTTATAACAACTTTGTTGAGATAGAATTCATATGTTATAAAATCCACTCTGTAAAAGTATACAATTCAATGGGTTTTAATATGTTGAACACACAGAGTGTATGTTGCACAAAACCATCACCATGATTTTTATCACCCTAGAAAGAACTGTACCCATTAGCAGCTATTTTCTATTCCCCTCAGTTCCTGGCAACCACCTAACCTACTTTCTGTCTGTATGGATTTGCCTGTTGTGGGAATCTCGCACAAATGGAATTGTGCAATATATGGCCTTTTCTTACTATCTTCTTTCACTTAGCGTGATGTTTTCAAGGTTCATCTATGCTGTAGCATCTATCATTACTTTGTTTTAATGGCCAAATAGTAGTCTATTGAATGGATATAACATTGTTTGTTTATCCATTCATTAGTTGATGAACAGGTGAGTTGTTTCTATTTTTTTGGCTCTTGTAAATACGCTGCTGTCAACATTCGTGTACAAGTCATTTCGGTGGACAAGTTTATTAGTCTTTTTGGTGTACAATGCAGGAGTGGAGTTGCTGGATCACATGGTAACAACTCTATGCTTCCAAGTATGTGGAGTTTTGATACTATTGATTTAACTTAATTGATCTTGGTCAGAGAATAAGCCCTCTATATTATTCCAATCCTTGACGTTTGTTCAGACTAGCTTGATGGCCTACCACATGAATAATTTACACAAATCTTCTAAGTGTGCCTATAAATAATGTATAGTCTCCAGTTGTTGGGGGAAGTATTTCATGTTTGTCCATAAGATCAAATATCTTTATACTTTTACTGATTTTGTTCTACTTGATCTATCCATAATTGAGATGTGTTAAAATCTTCTACTATGGTGGCAAATTTGTAAATTACTTCTTGTAAGTTAATTTTTTGCTTTATGTATTTTGAGCCTGTATTTTTAGGTATAT